ATCGCGCCCGGCCTACTGATTCTTAATTCTATCAGATTGTGTCCCTAATAGTTTATAAGTTACAGGCCCCTCTTCAGAAAACTTAAAGAGTTTTAATGACTTTAAACACTTTCCATAGGGCCCTAGAAGGAAAAAAATCAAACCCTAGGTTGGATGAAAAAACAAAAATCAAAAATAACCCTGCCAAGGAAGCAAGATATTGTGGCTCTGCCTGATGCTGAGTTCCTGATGTAGGAGGGGAGTGAATGCAGGTGCGTGAGTGTGTGGGTTTGTGTTCAGAAGGCCACCTGTCTGCTTGGTGATCCAAGCTATGAAAACAAACAAACAAAAAACAACGCATATTTATGGAGGCTGCAGGTGGAACAGGGCAAGAATGGTTAAATGCAAAGTGGAAGAAGGGCCGGGCAAGAGGGCTTCTTTGAGAATCAACACTGTCTTAGTTTGACACAGTGTCTTTGGCCCCAGAAGGAAAAAGAATTTAATGGACAATAGATGAGCTTTGAGTCTATAGGCATTCACTTATTCATTCATTCCTTACACAGGGATTCATTTGTTCCTTTATTTTAATTCATTCACTTACCACTTGAGCAGCTGCTCTGTGCTGATGCTCAGTGTAATCAGGACATGAATGATATGATTCCTGTCCTCAATGGACTCGCAATGCAAGGAGGTATGGAGTAAAAGTGACAACTCCTGGTGAGTAGTTCAGTGTAACAAAACATTTAGTAAGTGTCTAGTAATTGCCAATGCACACTGAGTAATCACTGTTATTAATCTAAACTCTCAGAACTCAGTGAATTTGGTTTTCATGTCACCATTATATAGCTGAGAAGGCCAAAGACTGAATAGAGCAAAGGATGCACTCAAAGTCACATAGCCAGTAATGAAGCCAGGATTCAAACCCCGGTATCTCTCATAGCTTAGGTTACTACCACAGTCCTCAATGGGAAGTATATTTCAGGCACCATGCTAGGTGCTGAGATTACAAAGCTGTATGAGATGTGATCTCTGCCAAGGTTTTGGAGGAACTCAAAGTCCAATGGTTCACATGAATATGTTAAAAGAAAATGACAATCCATTAGGATCATTGCAAAGAGAAGTATTAGAGGTAGCCCAGAGAGATTGAATACTCTATTTGGGGTAAGGAAGGCTTCCCAGAGAGGGTATGTAATCCCCTAGAATAGCTGCCAATCCCTGGCTCAGTGAGAAGTGTTTGCTAGAGCACTGCCTGAAATAGCAACATGTGGATATGTTCTCATGCTACGTAATTCACATCTTCTGTTAAGGGTTTTGCATACATGTCTCCTTTAATCCTCCAAACAAAGCAAAGGTAGTATTATTTTCTTTTTGTAGATAATAGCATAGAGGATCAGAGATGCAAAAAGCAGCTCAGGGACTCTCAGGAAGTGGCTGTGGTTAAGAACTACACCCAGACCTCACTCTGAAGACCAGGCTCTGTGCAGACCTAAACCTGAGAAAAATGAAACCAGGTGGAACCTAGAAAAAATGAAACCAGGTGGAACAGGCCACTGGGCAGTTTCTCTTCTTACGGGAAACTTGTGGAAGTCTCATGACTTTCTGGAAGCTGCTTAAAATACACTAATTGAGTTATCTCTTGTATTTGTCTTTATGGCTAACGGAAAGGTAGTGAAGGAGTAAACAGTGAGAGGCAAGGGTTTTCAGAGTACAGAGGTACTGTAGGGAGTGTGTGTTCATCAGAGAGGCAGGTCTACTATGGGAAGCCTAGAAGGCAGGAAGATCCCAGAGCACGGAGGGGTGTGTGGTATTTGGTATTACCTCTGGGAGGCTTAGGCAAGTGGGATCCACTTTCCAATACGTATACTAGTCTGTCCTCTAATTATGTTCAATCATCTTTTTTGGTAAAAAAGAAAACTGAGTCTCTGAGGCAAGGAAATGTATCAAAAGTCTCACAGGTAGGAAGAGAAGGAGCGCAGATTCCAACTGCAGCCACCTGTCTCTATACAATAACCTGAGGTTTTTACTTCTTACCTCTCTTAGGCTTTCGAAAATGTTGAAAATAGCTCATGGAAAAGTCATCATTACCATCAGTTGGTTCTAGGACTCTGAGAGAACGGCGGGTTGGGAGCCACTGCATGCCATTCAGGCAGCCCAGATATTTTGCAAGGAAAATTTCCAGTGCATTTCCTTAATGATTATTTTGGAGTCAGAAATGCAGGGTCTTTCTTAATTCTACCAGGGATTTTCATAAATTCCTTCTACAGATAGAGTCATTCATATATTTATTATTTTATTTTATTTGAGACGGAGTTTTACTCTGTCGCTCAGGTGCAGTAGCGTGATCTCGGCTCACTGCAACCTCCGCCTCCTGGGTTCAGGCAATTTTCCTGCCTCAGCCTCCCGAGTAGCTGGGATTACAGGCACACGTCACCACGCCCAGCTAATGTTTTGTATTTTTAGTAGAGACAGGGTTTCACCATGCTGGCCACGCTGACTTCATGATCTGCCTGCCTCTGCCTCCCAAAGTGCTGGAATTACAGGCCTGAGCCACCAGGCCCAGCCTTCATATATTTATTAAATGTTCCTCAAGCAGCTATGTTGCACCTGGCTTTCATATACCAGGCCATGGGCTTGCATCTGGTAATACAAGGACCCCAGGACATTCAAGGAAGTAACAGGGAAGAAATACTATTGACAGAGGAATGAAGGCACAAAGGCAGGAGTGATCTGCTGCTATTATTGAGAGGGAAAGTCCAGAAAGTCCCCCTGAGAACACAAAGTTTGAAGTAAAGTTGGAATGCTGGGGCAAGGCTGCAGAGAGAGTGGGGAGGGGTGAAACAAACAAACACAAAAAGATTTCAGTAGGGCTGGACCATTAGATAGTAGACTAGACACATAGGCTGGAGAGGGGACCTGCAGGCAGCTTGCCTGTGTATCTCAGGCAAAGGAGCTTCGATTTTTTTTTTTTTTTTTTTCCTGGAACTATTAAGCATGGAGATGGTGTGGCCATAATCATTAATAAATTCACAAAAAACAAGGCAGCAACTGGAGCATGTTTCCTTACATATCTAAACCTATTAGGGGCAAGTGTGGCAATTCAGGCACAAATTGAATCGTAGAGAATGGTATCATGGGGAATGGACCAAATGGACACGAAGAGCAGGCCAATGTCTCAGTGACAAGGGGGCCTGATGAGGTGCAAAGGCCTTAGGGAGAAAAATTACTTTTTCCCTGAGTAGCACAATACAGAATAGGGTCCCTAGACTTGGGTTTTTGAAAACGGGTCCGCATCTGGATATGCTTTTTCATGAAAACTAACACGTATAGGTTTCAGAAGCCATATTTAGGTCGGGGATGGTGGTTTCAAGACCCTAGAAGAGTGGGTTAGAGAAATGGACATTGATCAGAAATAAGTTTCACTAAAGGAAAAGGGAGAAGGGGGCGGGCAAGGATGAGAATGGACCAGAAAGACTCCCAACTTGGAGAATGCAGAATCTCAGGTTTGGAAGGACCTCCAGAGCTCTCCTATCCATCTCCCTATGCAATGTGTGAATCGCCCTGGTAATCTTTCTGACAAGAGGTCTGCAAGGCTTGCTTGCATAGCTCCAGGAATGGTGAGCTCACTCTCTGAGGTGTCAGCCGGTCTGCACCTGAGCAGCTCTGACTATGGGAGGGTCAGCCTCACTTTGAACTGGAATTGACTTTCTTATAGTGCCACTCACTAGTCTCAGTTCCAGTATTTGGCTGACACAGAACAAGGTAATCCCTTTTCCATACAGTGGCCTTTGGAGTCCCATTTCGTATCTATGGATTCTTTTATCCAGGCCAAACATTTCTGTGTCCTTCAGCTGCTCCTCATGGAATGAAGTTTCACATCCCCTTGTTAATCGTATTGTTAAACATGCAGGTGTGTCTTTGTCTCTCTCTTAGTGTGGGGTCCAGAACAGACAATAGTGTTCCAGGTAGAACTATTTTAGCCTCACAACAGTTCTGTCAGGGACAGAACTGACATTGTTGAGGATCTACCTGACTTTAAAGCACCTTCTCTGTCCACTCATTGTTGAGATGAATGAGGTCAACAGTGACTGAACACGCTAGTTCCTTCGCTGTGGCAAAGTCACATGTGCCCCCTCCTCAAGAGCCTTCACTGGCTCCCCAGAGCTGCCTGAATTATGTATAGAAGTTGCCTTCTGCCTGCCAGTTGGAGGTCCTAAATATGAGTTCTGGGCACTTCAGTGGTTTGGAGCAGTACCACAGAGCTGGGAATTTACGGTTCTATCCCAGATTCCCAGGAGTCCCACCAACACATGGGGTCGAGATCCACTGGACCTTGTTGTCCTTAATGTGGTATGCCTCTTGGGTTCTCCACAAGCCCACTGCACATGACCTTTTCCAAAATTTTCGCCCACTGGCTGAACTTTTGTATACCGCAAAGGCCCTGGCCAGCCCTTCTCCTGGCCAGCCCTTCTCCTACTGTCCCTTTGAAACTTCTCAACCACTTTCAAATTAGATGGGCAGCTCTCTTTCAACAACAAAAACACTATCCTCCACTTGAACAGGTCACTGAGCTCCTCTGAGCTTCACTACTATCAACTCTGCCTCTTAGGTTATTCTGAGGATCGAATGAGAAAATGGGTATTAGATACACAACACTATTAGATACCATAATACTGTAATGTGTTAGAAGAATTACTTCTTCTAAACCATGGCTGGAGACTTTTGCCCTAGAATACCTAGGACCTTGAGGCCCTTAAACAGAGCAGTTTGCATGATTCAACTCACGCCCACTCGTGGGACCAGACCTTCATTCAGATTGGCACCCTTTCCTCAGCGCTACCATTTCTGCCTCATGTCTCCTTCCTCTGGCCCACTGAAGATTCCCCAGCATGCAGTCCCCAGCAGAAACACGTGGGACCATGACACTCATTCCAAGAGAAGGGTCTCCTTCCACAGGCTGTAGACATAGCCTCAGTGTGAATCCAGATCGCCGAAACCTGGCAGTAGAGAGGAGATGTACTTACACTTACAGGTTGACTTTTTGGCACATCATAAACACCTTCCTTCTTTTGGCTGGTGGGAACCTATGGAAAAATTAAATTCAGCACAGTCAAAACACTCTGGTACTCCAATTTCAAAGAACAAAGCAACCAGACTTCAACTGCAAGCTGGTTAAGGGTATCTGAGAATGGCCCCCAGGACAAGCCCACGGGAACCTGCTCTAACTGTGAAAGTATCAGGCCAGTCTCCCTCCCTTAGGAGCATCAGATGGGGAGAGGGAGTGGGCATCATTTAACAAAGGTTTATAGGTCGTCTCTGCTATCAGGCTCCTCGCAGAATCAAAGACTAGAAACCTGTATAGACTTCAGAAGTCACGTGACTTCTGAAAAAAAAATCCTCATTTCCTTAGACAAAAATGAGGCCCAGGGAGGTGCTATACTGCTACCGAAGTGATTAGAAACAGTTTGTAGCTGAGCTTAAACTGCTCAATGCTGAGTCTGAGATCCAGGCTATTTAAAATATAGCAAATATCAAGATCCTAGCACAAACCACATCTTCTATTGGTATCATACACAAGCCATCTGATAATTATGGAAGGTTTTCATGGAAGAAAAAGGCCCACAAGTGGTATGGAAAGTGTGGGCCTAGTATGCAGAAGATCTTGAGGGCTTTTAACATTAATCTGCATCTTCCTCCCTTCCCTTCCTCATCCATCTGGTCTCACTGTGTTATGAGCTAACTGTGACAGCCTGAGCAGGTCACTGAGCTCCTCCGAGCTTCACTACTATGAGCTCTGCCTCTTACTCAGGTTATTCTGAGGACCGAGTGAGAAAATAGATATTAGATACACAACACTATTACATACCATAATACTGTAAATGTGTTAGAAGAATTACTTTAGTTACTGACACATCATAAAAATATATATGAACACATCTTATGATACTAACAATAGTGGATATGTTGACTACTTTTCAAATGAGTCAACCAAGGGTTTTTCACTGAAAGATTCCAGATTGGAAGCACTCATTAGTTGTTCCTTTCCCAGCAACTGTCACAGCTTAGCTCACACTCCCATTGCAGGACCCAGCCAGCAGTGGTTTTATAATGGTCTGACAACATGCCTTTCTTTCCATCATATTGGGAGCTCCTTAAGAGCAGGCATAGTGCCTAACACCCAGTAGGCTCTCAGTAAATGTCTGCTGAGACATATGGTAAACGTATGATAGAGGAATGTGGGGAATAGTGAAGGAAAAGTATCTTTTAGGCTTGAGCTAGCTACCTACACCATTGTTCTATAAGAAGTAAGAATTTGAGTTTATTCCATAGGTCCCTTTGACACTTTTCATCTCATTTAACTTAAAATCTTTGTAACAACTCTAAGAAATTGGTATTACCATCTCTACTTTAAACAGGAGAAAGTGAGGCTCAGAGATGTTAGGAACTTTGCCCAAATCTTCAAAGTTGGTAAGTGACCAGGTTCAAACCCAGCTCTTTCTCGCAGCCAGACAAGACATCTATTATTAATAATGTGAGCTAACATGGACTGGGTGCTTCCTATGTGCCAGGCGCTATTCTAAACATTTGTGTCTTATATACATTCTCATGCAATCCTCAAGACAGGTCCGTCAGGTAAGAACTCAGTGGGTCCCATGTTGCAGAGGAGAAAAATATCTCTGGCAGTAGAGATATTTGCCCTAGAACACCTGTGACCCTGAGGCCCTTGGACAGAGTAGTTTGTGTGATTCAACACACTCTGTGAGTGCAATCCGTGAATGGGGAAGCCAAAAGCTTGAGCCCAGGGAGTTTGCCATTTGACAGCTACATTATTCAGACAGCTGTTTCAAGTGGGCCTTTTCTTTGACATCACATCCTATGTTCCCAGAAGCTCATGTACACTCTTGCAGAAAACAGAACTGAGTAAGCATGGCTGTGTCGGTGGTACACTTCCAGAGCTGCTCTTGCAAGCTTCACTGTGCAAGTAGCCAGCGAAGAATGTCATTTCTTTGCTCCTGATAACTGAGCTCCATCTAAAAGAAATCCACTAAGAATGCCTACAGAGTCCTTGTTAATGAGGGCCAATAAATTACCAGCCCTCACTTTTGTTTTTACTAGCTCACCCTTTACTGAGCAAAATGAAGAACATTCTGTTGCCCGTAATTCACTGCTCACTACGGGCACTTAGCACAGTTGAACCGCAGCTGCCTCTCAATTATCCCTGCAAACGGAGAAGAAGCGGTGGAATGGATAAACCCAAACTGTGCATAATTGAAAACGTTTTTCTACTTGGCTCTCCCATGGGTGAGATATCAATCTGCCTGTTTGTCCTTTAAGATTTATCTCAGCTGGGATATCTTCTTGGCAGCCTTGCCTGATTCTCTAGGCCTTGTTTGGAGCCTTCCCCTGTACTCTTGTAACCTCTGATGCATTCTTTCATTAAAAAATAAAAGTTGCTAAGTATGTATTATGTGTCATGCCTCATGCATTCCCTGGGACAATGATGGTGAACATGATGGATACGGCCCCTGATTTAACAAAGCTCCTTGTCTTATTGCGGGAGATGGAAAAGTAATCAGACTACTGAAATAGAGTGTAAAATGTGCTTTATCTCATCATGAGGGTTATTGCACCACATTGTAACTGTTCCAGGGTCTATAAGCTTGCTGAGGGCAGGTTGGGATATTTTATTATCCTTGTAACCACAGCTGTAAATATTGGTGAACAAAGAAATGCCTAATCGCCAAGGATTCAGTCCATGAGGGCTAAGATGCATGGTCCTCGCTGTCATCTGTGCTTAGTTGTTCCATTCTGTTTACACAAAAGGCTTCAGTAACACAATATTTTAGAGAAATAAAAGTTTCAGACCAAAAGGAACCAGAAGACTGGTGGTTCCAAATCCTGGGTCTGCCACAGGCTGCGACTCAGAGAGTCCCTTTGCTCTCTGAACTTCAGTTGCCCCATCTGCCCAATGTGAGCATCTAAAGGGGCTGTCTATAAACTTCTGAGGGTGGGGGCCATGCCATGGTCACCATCCCATCCCCGTGCCGGATGCATGTGATTTTCCATGTGTCCAGTCATTTATTTGTTCTATAAATAATCGGTTTTTTTTTTTTTTTGGTATGAACAAGCGAATAGATGTTAAATTACTCTAAAAACAGCACATTACATACTATACATACAGAAGACACTTTTACTTTTATTTTGGCAGCATGTTAATTAATAGTATGGAGAGGCAGTTCCAGGCTTTGTTGGGTAACATTTCCTGGTGACTCATCATCATTTAAAAATAATGATACTTGACATGGATTGGATGGTTAACAGCGGTTTTTGAATGAATGAACTTGGAAAATGGCCATGTGGAAGGCTGATATCTTGCTTATATAGGAAGCCTGTTCAGGTATTGAAGAACACTAGATTTAGAATCGGAGGTTCTGACTTTGTATTCAGCACCTAAATTGAGGGAACTTGATTTTCTTATGTTCAAAATGATATCATTGTAGCTGTTTTTCCTATGTCACCATTATTGGAAGGATCAAAATTAAGTGATGTGTAAAAATGTTTTGTATTGGGAGGCTGATAATTTTAATACAGCCGATAACTTTTTCTGAGGCATGCAAAGCAAAAGGCAGTTATTATTACTAATATAATTGGGAAAACAAGACTACTCAAAAAATCTCCAAAAAAGAGGTTACATTTACTCAAAAGCCTCTGTGTCGCTTTTGTTGGAGTTACAAATAGGAAAGTGAAGCAAGCTTGAGGATTTCTGCTAGGCCCTCCGACAACATGTGGTGAGCAAGTTATATTCTGTTTCACTTACAACATGATCATAAGACATCTTCAACAGCATCTGAAACTGAAAACACGCAAAGAAGGAGGAGAAACTCACGTTTACACAGAACCTACTATGAACCAACTGCTCTCCTCCTCGTTTTACGTTTTCACATCACTGCTAGGAGCAGAGACTATATTATCCCCATTTCATAGCCCAGAAAATTGAGATACAAAAATTATGTTCTCCACTCAAGTTCACAAAAGAGTTAAAGGTCTCCAGGACTGTCTGCCTCACTCCAGAAAACAAGGAGGTGAATAAAAGCTGAGACCACTGGCTGGGCCAAGCTGAAGTATTAACAAACACTGCAATTCAGGAGAAATAGCTATGGAACACTCACAAGCCCTTGGAAAAAAAAAAAAAAAGAATGAGGCTCCTAATAGCAGCCCCTTAAAAGCCCAGCCTTATCTTCAGGCCCAAGAGCTTATCTCTTATTAAGTAAATTGAGCCCCAGCAGACTGGCAAAGGAGGAGAAGAGAATGACCAGAGGTTTTTCCAATAGAAGGAGATAAAATATTCATTCCTTTAAATGGTAGCTTCCTGTTAATGATGGACAGATAGGAAGATCTGGAGGTCAGAGCTGTTAAAACAAGTGTGATTTTTAGATAGTGACTTGAAAGGGATTTAGAATCTAATTGTGAAACTCAGAATCAGGGGATTCTGAGCTGAGAGCAGCCTCAGGATTTCTTTCTTTATTTACAGAGGTCAGAGGGACCTGCAATGGGGGCTCTACCTCTTGCTAGCTCTGGGACCCTGGGCAAGATACCTTATCTCTGTGAGCCTCACTTTCCTTATCTGTAAGGTGGGAATAATGATTCAAGCCACACGGGGTTGTTGTGAGAAATAAGATATTGCACTTAAACCCCATTCACAGAGCTGGCCCACCATCAGCGCATGCACACATGCAAATTTTCCCATCTCCACCATTTCTGAGTCTTATTATCCTGTAAAACAAGCCAACATGCTTCTCTTAAAAAAAAAAATCAAAGTCCTATGGTAAAGCAGTAATCACAAAAAACAGAAAACGGTCTTGCCTGAGACAGCCCTGTATTTCACTTGCTCATTTTACAGATGAGAAAACTGAAGCCCAGAGAAAAAAAAATACTTGGCAATTAAATTAATCGCTGAGTTGGTACTTGTACTAAAATACTGAATCCACACAGCCAGACTCCACTTTCTGTGACCCATGATGACACCTCTTCTTTCCATTCTACACATGAGCTTGTGAGTTAGGGAAAAACTGTTCGTCTGTTTTATAAAGGGAGAAACTAAGTGCCTTGCCCACTACCACTCAGCCAAAGGTAGTTGGCAAGAGAGCCTGGACTACAACCCAGCTCTCCACCAGCTAAAGCAGGTCTTTCCAATACACTAGGATGTCTCCCTCCCCACTGGGCCCTGACTACAGTCCCACAGGGCTCAACGGGAGCCCTGCCAACTATAGTTAAGTCTGGATTCAGAAACCTCTAATACTGCAAAGCTTCCTTTTATTCAAAAGGGGCCTTCTCTTCCCAGGATGATTGGTTAATGGATTTTTCCTCCTCATATTCAGATACTGTAAGGTTGTATATACTTTAAAATCTGACACTCAGGACAAATGTAACTTTTCTTATTAAAGATACTTGGTAAGCCACGACTTTCAACAAAACCTCAAAGCACAACCTGACATTTGAATGGAATCCAGATAGATCCAGTGGAGAGAAATACTCAGATTATTACTCAACAAGGCTGACAACTTTAAACCAAGTTTTTGGTAGAACTAACATTATATTTTAGTCATTTAGAATTCTATGCATTTGATAGAAAATGAAAATGTTTTACTTTTATTATATAAGTAATAAAAACCCAAGGCAGAATAGAGCACACAACTAACAAAATCAAAATCACTTATTAAATACATTAAAATGTTTTCTTCTCCTATAATGTTTCTATTTCAAATTGGGACTACAATACTAATGAGTGAAAAGTTGCAGGTCATCATATCTATTTGATGTGCTGCTATGCTGCAATTACACAGACACTTTGGTGGAAGACCATGGCAGAAGGAGCCAGAGCTTCGCCTTCACACCCATGCCTGGGTTTGAATCTTGGCTCTAAATAGTTGTACAACCCCGAGAAAGCTACTCGGCTTCTCTGAGTCTCACCCTATAAAAACAGAACTAAAATATCTAGTTTATAATATCTTCGTGAGAACTAAATGAGTTTAAAAAGTTTAGTTTTCTTTGCACAATTAAAAACAAGGGTAAAGCCTTTAGCTGTACTTTCATTCAGTTAATATTCTCATTGTTGTTTTCACATAGCATTTGAAATTAAATTTGTGCTTTATTTTCAGCAGTGGAGTTGGCGTCTTAAGAAATTTGTTGAGCAAAATTTTTTGAGAAATAAGGGATCCTAATTGTACAACGGACACCAGCTCTCCAATGTATTACCTTGGTAAAATGGAACATTTTATTTTTGCTTCTACTTAAAATAGTTAAGATCCATTCAAAAGTGAAACACTGTACCTAACTGGCTATTAAACATCAACAACAAGGCATGAAAACTACTGGGAAATTCCTGGGGAACTAGAAGCCAATTCTCTCAAAGATATTTAACAAGCCTGGAATGACCAACAGAACCCTTGGTTCTTTAGACTATCAGTGTATTTACGCATTTACTAGTAGTGGTGCAATGGTAAGAGAGGCAAGCAATTTTATACCTGATAAATGTTTTCTTCCGTTTCGGGATCACGGATTGGCTCGTGTCCAGCCTCAAACACAATGTACTATTACAGGAGCAGCCAGAAAGGAAAGGTCAGAGGTGAAAAAGAAGAAAGGAAAAACATGCATTTGGAAATTAAGATACAAATCACAGTGAGCATTTAAGAAGCAGGCACAAGAGAAAACACCTTAAAGACACAACTGAATTATTGAAACAAAATGTACCTTGTACATTCCTGCCTTTCCTAAGGAAAACTGCACAGGTCTGCTGGTCAGTATTTCAGCAGTGATTGCATTGAGCCTCTGCAGATCTTTCTGGAGATATAACCTCTTCGTTCAATGGCAATTTGTCTCAGTAATATCTGAATACGTTGGTAGTGATGAGTATGAATGCTATCTCATTGGAATGCCTGGGATCCCACACTTTGTAAAGTATGGGTTACAGTTGAGGGGCATCCCTTTTCCCCTAAGGCTCAAAATCCTAAACAAACTCTGAAGAGCTCGGAAGCCCCAAACTCCTTTATCCCATAAATATCACCTTATTTTACATTCTCACTTTAAAATACGTTAAATCAATGTTTCCACATGCATGTTTTAGACTCTACAGGACTGAGACATTTCAAAAAGGCTATTATTCTTCATTCTGTGCAAGCCAGTGAGCCAGAGGGTGAAGTTCATATTATATACAAATCCTTGGCCCTCAGTATTCTCAAGCAAGAGCGTGTCATTACGTGCATCTTTGGCTTTTGTTTGCCATGTACGCTAGATACTTTTTCCACTTCAAGTTATCTATATGATGTTACTTTCATTGTAGCAGTACTAGCTTTTTGTGTGAAAATATGCATTTATATAAAATATGTATGTGACACACACACACACACAGAACACCTATGCATCCCAGTTAGAACTGTAAGTTCAAGATTTTCCTTTGTGTTCAAAAAGTCATTTTTTTGGGCTTCTCTTTCTCCTTGAGAATAAGCACAGGGGAGGGAGAGGCTGTCTTTTCCCTTTTTTTCTGCATCTCTGTTTGAACAAACCACATACTTGACCCCAAGAGAGATCATTTCTCTACCCACCACTGAGCTGCAGATCTTGAAGAGAGTCCAGAGAAAGCTAGGGGCAGAAGTGTCTTTAAGGTCACTCTTTCCTTCCTCCCAACAGTTCCTATGGCATGAGCCAGGTAATCGGAGGGTCAGCTTGCCCCATCGGGGGTCAGAGAGCCCTCCTCATAGCCTTTCTAAAGCTTAGAAACCATCCTTTGGGTCTGTGCTGAAATGTTACCAAAACGTCAGCCCCTACCTCTGGTTCTTAACTCAGAGAAGCCACCTCATTATTCATATTCTCTCTAATGAACTCAGAATATTCAAGAGACTCTTGAAAACATTCAGCTCTGGGATCAAACTTCTACAGACTGTGAAGGGGGCCGAGGCAGAGGCAAGAAGGGAGAAGCGGATCTCCAAATCCCAAGATACCGATGCCGGCCAAACTTCTGTTAGTTTTTATGGAAATTTGCTCCTGGAGGGGCTGGCAGCCCTCGCCCTCAGAAATAATCTTGGTCTCTCTCCAGGTTTTGCAGTCAGTGGATTCTTCAGGTTTCTGACAAAATGGCTCTGGCACAGGTCTAGTCACTCTTGAATCTAAAACCCCAACTAGTTTCAGAAATTACCTGGTACACAGGATCTTCAACATCCTCTTCCAATATTGTCTATTGCAGAATAAGGAGAGGGAGGGTGAAAAGCAGACGACATAAAGAAAGAGATGTGAGACTGCATTCAGAAATTATAGGAGAGTAAAGAAACCAGCTCTGGGCAGAAGAGGCTGGTGGGTCATCAAGGCAGAAAAAACACAGAAAAGTCAAAACCCTTAGAGCCACCCCCACCTCCACCCCACTGTTAACGATAGCAAAAGCAATTGTGTTTCTTGGGTCCTCCACCCCTGAAATCTTTCTCTGGATTCCAGATTTCACTTCATCCAACATGTCTAGAGTTTAAGAGAATAAGGGATAATTTCTAATGGCTTGCTTTGGGTACTGTAATTTACACAGGAATCTTTCATCTTCATTTATTTCTACTTGGCAGCAGGAAGAGAAGGCCCGACTGTCAGTTTTTACATGTGTTTATTTGAAGCCCGATCTGCAGCGCAAGGATAAATTCACAGGTATACCTGGTACACAGCTTGTTCACACTGCTTATCCTTTTGTGCCTTTTTTTCTAATTCTTCTCTTTGCTTCAATTCATAAATGAGTTGAAAGAGATCTCTCAAGTCCAGAATAACAGGTTCAGCCTGGAGTGAAAGGTGGTAAGGCACATCATAAGGGAATGGTACTGAGATGCAGCAACCAATTTTTGTTTTTGCGGCGACAACCCGCAGCCCTTCCTTTTTCTATTAATCTGAAAGCATTCCATTCTTAATTAATTCTACCTTGTTTATACTGGTTTAGCAAATTGCATCTAGGCTAAAGTTCATTTCTTCAACTAATTATATTTGCAAATTCATAATAATCATAAGCATAAAAGGCATTGCTTTTATTTATTAGTGATTTAGAATACAATAAAATTAGAGTAGGCCTTATGCAAAACAGCTATTTGTTTTCTCTTATTTTCTTTTTAAATGAGGCTATGAACACAAGGCAACTTATTTGTACACGGTGCCTCCATCCAGTTTAATCAGAAAGGAAAATAATTAGTCATTAGGAAATACCCATTAGTAAAAAAAAAAAAAAAAGAAAAGAAAAAGAATAAACTGGATGGGTATGAGCATGTTTCCTTGCTTCAAGGCTGTTTATCTTTTCTAGATGGGAATGTGAGCATCAACTTCAGTGGAAACGCATTGCTTGGTCATATCTCAGAGTGCGCCCTCAAAGACCAACGGAGTCACAGGACTGTCCTCCCAGAGTTCCAAGGAAAGGCTCCCTTCTTGGATAGGGATACTCACCGCCTGGGCTGTTTTTATGGCCACAAATCTGTGATTCCCTTCCTTCCCACAAACATATCCAAAGGCCCGGTGATCTGTAATGTCCTTTGCAATGTAGGATATTTCATGAACAGCATGATGATGCTGAAGGGCCTATCAGAGAAAAAAATGAAGAACATATTTCAGGGGACTTTCCCTTCGAGCTGTTGATCAATAAGAAATGTGTTTCAGCTATGTGTGAACAGGCCCGAAGGGCTTTGGAAAAGCTGTTTAGTCCAGATGGAAAGAAAAAGAGCTACGCCTGCCCTTGAGAAATGGAGGCTTCTCTCTACGGTCTTAATCCTGTGACCAGAGAGAAACACAGGATTGTTCATATGCTGAATAAGCATCTGCAATGGTGGCTTTATTCAGCTTGCTAGAGCCAGCGTTTAGTTCAATGGGTAGGCTTCTATTTGATCTTGTTTTCATGACACATCCCAGTCCAACTTTTGGATTGATATTTAATTTACTTAAATTCTCAGGGACTCTGTGTGCTGTGGTGGAGGATGTACACTGTACAACTCCAGGGAATATTGTTAACACTCATAGAACTATAGATGTGCATGGTGACAACACTTTTCCAGCAGATGGTGATAGAGTGTGTTGAGGAATAAATGCCCTTCTCTGTTTTGTCCAAAGTCACCACTGGGGGTAGAGGTGGGGCTATGCATATCTCTCAGGCTTTTCATTGCTAGGTCTCTCTGTCTGCAACATCAACTCTTTTTATTCACTTGTCCACATCCTATTTCTCTTTCAATGGCCATATGAAATAGTATCACCTGTGTGAAACTTCCTCTGAACAAGGCTTGCCTTCTCTCTCCCTGGGGAAATAATTCCACCCTCATTTGTGTTTCTGTAGAACTTTACTTTCTAATGACACAGAACTGATGAATTCCTTCAATGTTGGTCCCTGGACTTCCTTATTCTCACAGGTCTTCCTTCTCTGATATACTTGCATGATTCCTTGTCTGTCTTTCCCACCTGGTTCTGTCTTCCTTATCCCTGTCATCCTAGCACCTTGCACTATGGCTGGATTATAGTTGTTGAACTAAAGTAAACTGAGATTGATAATTAGTCATTTGAAAATCTTTTATAGTTGACCTTTGTGCCTCCATTATCTGAGCTTCAACAGATAATGTTCACCATCCTATAGGGTAATGGTGATCTTTATGGTTATTTTCCTATACTAAACCTACTTAAAACAATCCTCATTCAACAGTACTCTGTAAAGGCTTGTATATTCATCTGGGTGCTCATGGTATGTTTAAAGTCCTTATAAAGAGCCTTTTCATTATACTGGGTATTAGGAGGCTTGAATTCTAGCTACTGTGTAAACACAAGGTACCCAGTGTATCCCTGTGTACCTCAAGTTTAACCCTCTAGTAAATGGGAGGTATGTACCAGATCAATGGCTCATAACCCAAAGCCCTAGATCCTTAGGGATCATTCAGTGTAATAAAAAGAGGCCCCATGCAATTTTCAAAATCTCAAAAGCTAAACAGAAATCTATAATTACTCCTAATAAGTCTATACTTTTCTATGTGCATGCAAATGAAAATGCCAAATTTATTTGGAATTTCCTTCTTTTGAGACAGGGTCTCACTCTGTCACCCAACCTGGAGTGCAATGGTGCAATCTTGGCTCATTGCAACCTTCACCTCCCGAGTTCAAGTGATCCTCTCGCCTCAGTCTTCTGGGTAGCTGGGACTACAGGTATATGCCACCACAGTCAGCTCATTTTTTTGTAGAGATGGGGTTTCGCCATGTTGCCCAGGCTGGTCTCCGACTCCTGGGCTCAAGCGATCCACCTGTCTTGGCCTCCCAAAGTGCTAAAATTACAGGTGCAAGCCACTGCACCTGGCCATTTATTTGGAATTATATCAGCTAAGTGTTGCTAATATTCCTTAACTCATATTTGAGTATATTCTCTTACTGGCAATTAGTTATGGTTTAAATAGTCCAAATAGGAAAATGGATGATTACAAATGCAGTTTTTTTGGTAGACAGAATCTTCCCCATTACTGAGTCCATGGAGGGAGAGAGAAATGTTAACACAGGAGAAGTTAGTTACAAAAACATTGGGAACCACTGGAGTAGATACTCTCTAAGCTCTTATTCTATCTTCCCAAATCCTTTTAAGCCATTAGGACCCCCCACTACAAAATCAGCCTCCTGGTACAGTGGGCCTCTGGCTTTCACGATGGTCATCGCCTAGATGACCACTGATCTAAAATGTCCACCTCTTGGCCGGTTGCAATCTTTCCAGGCATTTGACCTCATAAATCATTTTTTGCAGTAGAATTTTCTGCCTTACCTTAAATTTCCAGGGTCTGACTATTCACTAACCTTTCTGACTACTCTTAGAACTCTCTCTTTGGCTTCATGCTTGCCCACCCTGCCCACTGCCCACTGGACATCATGCTTTAATGGTGGCATGACTGCCCAGTTACCCTAGTCCCTCCAGTGGCAATAAAACGAATGTGTGAGTCTAATGGTTTTTGACACAAATAAGTTGGCGGAGAAGGACATATTTGCTAGCAAAATAATTAGGATCCATTAATTTTTGTTTTATTAAGAGGACATATTTAGCTAGCAGAGGAAAATTGCTCAAAGAGTGGTAGCTTTTTCATGGTGTTAATGATGTAAAATTGATGAGATTTACATTTGCGCAACATGGGGGCATTGATTTACAGGCTTTTGTGCGCTACAATGGTAGCCAGCAGGGAAAAGTGGGAGACAAAGACGTTCTTCTCTTCCTTTCCTGAAAGTATCTCTCTCTCTGCACAATGTGAAGAATGTTATCCACGTTTCCTATTAAATCAAAGTTTGACGACAGTGCCTTATTGATTGCCAAGTAGAATATTGCTCTAAAATTAAACTGCGATTAGAAATCTTCCTGGTGGAATTAGATTTGGAGATGATTGTGCAATGGTAAAATATCACCTACCAGGCAAGACTGCAGATGGAGATGTTTTAATTTATCTGGGAATCCTCATTAAGTGTTTTAAAATCAAAACATTTTTAATGCCTGATGATACCTAATACTGCCTTGCAGAGTGTAGCTGTGTGTGCAAGCGTGCAGTGCTTAAAGATATTTGTAACGTTATTCTCTCTCATAGTTAATTTTATGACATGTTAAAAAGGATTGCTCTGAATGTGTCTCATTCATTCGGAAATGAGTCGGTGAGGGGATATGTCTTCCTTCTCTCCAACCTTAACCATGCAGACGTAACATACTTAGAAACACAAATACATTAGAATTCTGCTAATCCCACAATTGCATTATCACATTCGCTTTAGAAACTTAAGAGTGTATCATGAAAATTCTTGTTCACTGAGCCTCAAAATTGCCCCACGTCTTCAAGTAGACTTTATCAGCACAATCAAAGACAGTTGGAACCTTAAACATCAATCCTGAGTTTATTCATGAAGGGACTGAAGGTCAGAGATTGAAATGCCAGGAGCAATACTAAACCCAGGTGTTTTTCCTACTCAGGATAACAAAGCATTGAAAAAAGGAAACCCGATTACATAGAATCAAAGTCTCCTTTCCTTAGACTTTTGGCTCTCTCAACCAACAACAAAAAGATGATCCCTTGATAAGTTGGGATGAGGAAGACAAGGGAAGAAGAGAACTGGGTAAGGGGAGAGAACTGAGAATGTTCTAGATTCAGGCAGGTATCCGAAGTCAGGGAGGGTCATAAATCAGAAGGCTTGGGGTAAAGGCCGGCCACCCGGCTCTCAAAGAAAAAGGTGAAGACAGCACGGCCCTGAAGTTTACTCTCAGGAATTGCCTGTCTCTGGCACCTGTTAAGCATCCGTAGGCAGCAAGGTGAGGTGCAGCCTTTGGTCCTAGTGTGTCCAGAATTGGTGGGTTCTTGTCTCACTGACTTCAAGAATGAAGCTGCGGACCCTCGCAGTGAGTGTTACAGTTCTTAAAGATGGTGTGTCCTGAGTTTGTTTCTTCTGATGTTCGGAAGTGTTCAGAGTTTCTTCCTTCTGGTGGGTTCGTGGGCTCGCTGGCCTCAGGAGTGAAGCTGCAGATCTTTGCAGTGAGTGTTACAGCTCTTAACCTGTCGTGTCTGGAGTTGTTCGTTCCTCCGGTCCAGAGTTGTTCATTTCTCCCGGCGGATTCGTAGTCTCACCTTCCTCAGCAGTGAAGCTGCAGACCTTCACGGTGAGTGTTACAGCTCATAAAGGCAGTGCAGACACAAAAAGTGAGCAGTAGCAAGATTTATTGCAAAGAGCGAAAGAACAAAGCTTCCACAGCATGGAATGGGACCCGAGCTGGTTGCCACTGCCGGCTGAGGCAGCCTGCTTTCATTCCCTTTTCTGACCCCACCCATATTCTGCTGATTGGTCCATTTTACAGAGAGCTGATTGGTCCGTTTTGACAGGGTGCTGATTGGTGCATTTACAAACCTTGAGCTAGACACAGAGCGCTGATTGGTGCATTTACAATCTTTTAGCTAGACATAAAAGTTCTTCAAGTCCCCATCCTACTCAGGAGCCCAGCTGGCTTTGCCTAGTGAATCCTGTGCAGGGGCCATGGGTGGAGCTGCCTGGCAGTCCCCTGCAGCACGCCCCCACTCCTCAACCCTTGGGTGGTCCATGGGACCCGGCACCGCGGAGCAGGGGATGGCGCCCGTTGGGGAGGCTCCAGCCTCATGGAAGCCCACTGGGGCGGGGGCGCTGGGGCATGGTGGGCTGCAGGTCCCTAACCCTGCCCCGTGGGGAGGCAGCTGAGGCCCAGCGGGAATGCGAGTGCAGCACGGTCGGGCAGGCAGTGCTGGGGGACCCAGCGCACCCTTCACAGTTGCTGGCCTAGGTGTTAAGCCCCTTACTGCCCCAGTTCCGGCCAGCGCCTCTCCCTCCGCACCTCTCCACAAGCAGAGGCAGCCAGCTCCGGCCTCAGCCAGCCCAGAGAGGGGCTCCCACAGTGCAGCGGTGGGCTGAAGGGCTTCTCAAGCGTGGCTTGAGTGGACTCTGAGGCCAAGGAGGCACCGACAGCGAGGGCTGCTAGTTGTTATACCCACTAGGGTATAACAACTGCTCCATCCCAGGAGTGCTTCTGTGGTCAGTTCCTGGGGCCTTGCAGGTAGTTCCAGAGGTGG